GACTGCAGGCAGCTTTACTTTTCCTTAGCTACGGGACCCTGGGTGCATATTTTAACTTCTTCAAGCTCTAGTTTCCCTTTTATTTGATGCAAGGATGATAGTACTTACCTGTTATCATTGCTATGAGGATGAAATGGACTACTGATTAAAAACACCTGGAATACAGTCCTAAACCAGCAGTAACCCTTTTTCTTATAAACTAAATTTCTAATGCATTATAGGTTGACATTCTACAAATAGTGAGCCAACTGATTTTTGACAAAGGTGCTAAGAACACACAGTGGGAAAAGGACATTCTCTTTGATGAAATGAGCTGGAACTTTTTGAACATCAGTAATGAGAAGAATAAAATTCAACCCATATATATGATGATATATAGAAGCTATTCAAAATAGTTTGTGACTGAAGCATAAAATCTGAGACTCAAATTACTAGAAAACAGTACAGGTAGCAAATGACATGGTGGGTTTCGCAACTACCATCATGATCCTTGGTGCAGGACAAAAGTATATCTAGAAACCAAAACCACCTAGAGGAAGACAGGGAGAAAGGATGTTCAGTATCACACTATGAGTTATTTTTAGGCAGACGTAGAGATGGAGGAGAAACAGAGATCATTAGTCAACTGGCTCACTCTCCACATGGCCAGAGCTGAGCTGAGTCAAAACCCAGAGTCAGGAGCTTCTTCCAGGTTTCCAACACATAAACAAAGTCCTGAAGATCCCAAAAGTGGGAGAATCAAGATGGCAGGATAGGGTAAGGACACATTCAGACAGAAAGAGAAACATTAGTCAGTGTGAAGCAGAGAGGGCACACTCCAGGAAATAAGAGAGGACAGAAAAACAGCAGAGGGGCACATGGAGACTGACAGAAATGGGAAAGCAGTAGACACAATGGTATGATGGTACAGTGACTGATACCCCAGCGACACTCAGTGAGCAGTGATATGCACTGCACCAGTGGGCAGAGATCCACTAGCAACAATGTGGGAAGGGGCATTCTCTGGGAACACAGGTGGTAAACCCAGGCAATGAACTGCCAATCCTGTTGGTCTATTTGATCTAATCAAAACAGATATAGAGTGGCAGGTCCCAGATGGGCAGTGTGGGAACAGGGTGAATTTCATAGCCCAGTCCACCCCCTAGAGCCGAATTAGGAAGCATTTGGTTAAAGAAGGTAATGGCTATGGAACACGGCTGTACATATACTGAGCTAGGAATGAACTCATTTCTGGCTCAGTGAACTTCAACAACGTGTGTCATCCTGCAGGTTCCACACAAGATAGGTACAGATAGCCCTAAGATTTGAGGGCAAACAAATCAAGACCTGTAGTAGTGGCATATCAAGTGCCATGTTGTACAGTGTGGAAAAACTTTAAGATGGCAGGGGCAACAGTGAGCTGTGCATGTGCTGAGCTTAGAGTGAACTCTGAGCTCAGTACATTGCATGGCCCCACAGGGAAAATAACACCAACTTTGGCATCACATGGGTCAAAATAAGTCCATGTGGACCTCAGACCTAACAGCCAACAGGTTCTGGCTAAGTCAGCAGCACAAATAATCTAGTTGCATATAATACCGGGTAGCTCCCTAAACCTGGGACGTGCTACAACTGGAAGTGGGAGAAAGATTGTACAGACAATGGTACAGCCTCAGCATGGTATCACAGGAGGAGGAGAGGGGTGAGCCAGGAGCTGGGGCTATGGAGACCATGGTAGAAGTCTAACATAAGACTTCAGACTTGGAACTCGCTGGAGGTAGTGGCACAAGTGACTACAAACAAACAGCCATGTGCCAACTGCAATAAATAAAATCAAATTGTAGTCCTGTGGGTGACACAGCTTAGAGACCTTAGCCTCAAGGAGAAGAATCTGATAACCAGAAGTACAATGAGCAAGAGCAAAGGAAGACAGAAAGTCACAATGAATGTTACTGAAGATTCCCCTGCAAAGGAGCAAAAGCCTTTGCCAATCTCAGAGTTAACTGAGGAAGAGATCGAGAAAATGGGGCATACAGAATTTAAAACAGTTGTTTTTTTTTTTAAAGATTTATTTATTTATTGGAAAGTCAGATATACATAGAGGAGGAGAGACAGAGAGGAAGATCTTCCATCCGATGATTCACTCCCCAAGTGAGCGCAACGGCTGATGCTATGCCAATCCAAAGCCAGAAGCCAGGAACTTCTTCTGGGTCTCCCACAGCGGTGCAGGGTCCCAAGGCTTTGGGCCGTCCTTGACTGCTTTCCCAGGCCACAAGCAGGAAGCTGGATGGGAAGTGGAGCTGCCAGGATTAGAACCGGCGCCCATATGGGATCCTGGCGCATTCAAGGCCAGGACTTTAGCCACTAGGCCATGCCGCCGAGCCCTGAAACAGTTGTTTTAAAGCTTCTCATCAACAACAAGAATCATGTAATACAGGACTTCAAACAATTCAAGGCATATGTCACACAGGAAATGGATCTAATGAAAGCTGATATATCAGAAAGGGAGACTACAGTGAAGCAAATTAAAAGTACAGTGGAGAGTCTCCAAAATAGAATGAAGGAGGCAGAAGAAAGAATGTCAAAATTGAAAGATAGTTCCATTCACCAGGAGGAAAGCAAACAAAAAGCTGGAAGCAGAGCTTGGTCAAGCTAAAAAAAAGTATTCAAGAATTGAAAGACATTATTAAAGCCAAATAAAAGAGTTATGGGAGACCCAAAAGGTGCAGAAAGAGAAGCTGGGTATAAAAATGTAGCTAATGAAGTAATCAGAGAAAATTTCCAGGAGGGACACAGAACTCCCAACAGGGTTGATCAAAAGTGATCTTCACCACAACACACAACCATTAAGCTCTTTTGACTCGGATATAAGGAATAGATCCTTTAATGTGCACCTGAAAAACATCCATTGACATATAAAGGAATGCCAATTAAATTTACAGGAGACCTCTCACAGGAAACTCTACAGGCCTGAAGAGAATGGAGCAACATATTCCAGATTCTAAAAGGAAAAAAAAATTGTCATCCTGGGAAAATGTACCCAGCAAAGTTCTCCTTTGTCTTTGAAAATGAAATAAAATTCTTCCACAGTAAACAAAAGTTAAAAGAATATTCCTCTTCCAGCCTTGGCCTACAAATGATACTTAAAGATGTTTTTTGACAAAGAATAGGAATAGCACACACGTAAACCAAGGTGAATATGAAGAACATCCCAGAGAAATAACAACAGAAGACTAAATTAATGAACAACCATTGCTAAAATGACAGGACCAAATTATCACACATTCATATCAACCCTGAATTTAAATGGCTTAAAACCACCAATCAAATGTCTTAGATAAGTAGACTGAATTAAAAACAACAATAACAAAAAAACAACAATAACAAAATCCATCTGTTGCCTACTGGAGTTATATCTCAGTAACAAAGATCAGCGGAAACTATATCTCATGGATTTTGATTTTTTTATCTTGTTTCATCTCTTCAAAACACTTTCTTCCTCATGAAATTGTTCACTGACTCATATATCACACAGTAGCATCATTTTCTTCAAGAAGGTTCTTGATTTTGCTTTTCATTTCTTCAGCAAGAAATGAAAAATATTTGTCATTCAGTAGCATGTTATTTAACTTCATGGCATTTTCCATTCCTTTTTTTTTTTCCTGTTTTTGATTTTTTCTTGAGGTTTTTCATTTTAGGGGATATATAGTAACCTAGTGATGGAGATTGTCATATCCTGATGGGATGATGCAATGCATTATGCATATCTAATTTATAATCAAAGATGGACTGCCAATGGAACTGTTAACTATATGTTTACAATAGCAAGCTGGACTCTCCATTGTCCATGCCCATAACGGTGGATGTATGACTGTTTATGAATAATTATGCTATAGTAATAATATAGGAACTCAGTGCTGTGGGGAGGGAATTCGGGGAGTCGGTAAAGGAAATCCAAGGGCCTATGGAACTGTACAAAACAATGACAATAATAATAAAACAATTAAAAAGAAAGAAAGAAAATGACATGATATTTGTTTCTGCTTATCCCCTGCTGTTGCTGGCATTTGTGGAGTGAACCAGCTGATAGGAACTTTCTCTGTCTAATTCAGTCTCTACTTCTCTTCCTTTCAGGTGAATCAAAATAGATATTAAAGAGGTGCCTGGGAATTAATCTGTACAGTATAATGTTTATGTTATTATTTTATTGTATTGTTGCATTAGTTATTTGAGGCTTTTGTGTTTAAATATAGTTACAATTAGTATGAGAGGGTTTTGAAATTGTACTATGAGACTTAAAAGCCCACCTCATTAATTATATCTGCATGACTTTGGAAAGTTATTTATGTTGCATTTTCTTCTCCTGTAAATCAGGATAATAAAAGTGCCAGCTTCATCAGGTGATAATTAAGTTGGTTGGTTTGTATAAAATATTTTTTAAAAAGCTGTGCAATGGCTCAATTAATATTAATTGTTATAATAATGCCATTATTGATGTTATTAGTATTATTATCAAAGTGGAGAAGTGAAGTAAAAGGTAACACATATAGGTAAGGACCTCCAAGAGGAGAACCACACATTAAATACTGTCTTGCAAATTGGAAAGATGCCTGCTTTTGTGCTTGGTTTTTGTAAACCTGTATAGATACAATAAATAATAGCGAAATAGGAAAGGGACAAATGTTAGATTTTGTAAGTTAGTTCAACATGGTATACAATCAATGAGTTTGTGTTTAGCATGCAGAGGTGAATAGGATGTCAATCCTACATTTTCCTAAGCTTGCAATCCCTGAAAATATTTTCAAATTCATAAGTCCTGCCATTTGGGACATTGGAATTCACTTCTCCTGAATAGGATTTTTATGTGTCTATTGAATGTTACCCGAGGTGATATTTAAAATATATATGTATATATATTTCACAAGGCTAAGGCATGGGCTGTGCCTGATTAGTCCATTCTGCAATGCAGGCAAAGGGTATTTGAGGCCTGAGCCATAAACTGATCCTTTAATTGCTGGACCATGGTACTAGTGCAGGACAATGTTCCATCCTTGAGGTATGACCAGATTTGTAATAGAGGGGAGAGGGCTCTTTTGGAGGCTGGGGCAGTACCTATTTAGACTCTGGCAAATACGTATTCTAGTACTTTAACCATTGAAATGACTTCCCAGATAGTACCAGCTAAAATATCAGCCTGGTGAAGTTTCTTAATGTCTGAATTTTCATTTCTCATCCAGAAAAACCTAAAATATATGAGAAGGAGACAGATTTGAGGAGCATCCAACCAGTATTCCTTGGCAGTGAGAACACCCTTCGTTGTACTGCAAGTGGTGTCCCTGCTCCCTCCTTTTTGTGGGCCTGGGAGCCCTGCAGTCAGATGGATGAAATGTAAGTAACTTCCAGGTTCAAGGGATATGAATGGTATAGATCCCCAGGAGTTACTGAGCTGCATGAGGCACTAGAAGACTTAATATTTTACTAGGTTTTCTCTTTCAAATTACAATAAATGTGTTGATGTTGGTGGTCTTGGGATGAGGTCTGCAAGCTGAAAGAAGAGGAAATATTTCAACATTCGAACCTCAACGTTTTAATTATTGTTTTCTTCCAAAGTCTTTCTTAAATTAAAGAAACAACAAGAACAACAAAAAAATGTGGTTTTAGGCCAGAGACATGTTTTCTTAGTTTGTGTCCTGGTGTTTGACTAAGGGAAAAACAGAACAGAGAAATTTCCAAAACATGTGCCATTGTATGGCAAAATCTTGGTAATGTGCCTCAAAATTGGGTTTGTCCTTTCTGTTTGAGAACTATTTCCATGATATGTCTGATGGAATATTATGAATGAATCTGTCGATAAATAGCATATTTAGATGGGAAACCATTCATTGTAGCTCCCTGTAATCCTTTTGTAGGATATTAGCCAGGGATCCTCTCTGTAGTAAAAAATAGAGATCTGTAAGCTAAGATGAAATGAATCACTTACCGCAATGCATGATCAATGAAGAAAGCACAAAATGAGACTGCATGACCTAACTGCTAACACTTTAGAATTTCTTTTTTTTTTTTATTGTTGCTTACATTGTATTATGTAGTACAGTTTTATAGGCGCTGGGGATTCCCCCCACCCCTCCCATACCCCTCCCCCCATGGTGGATTCCTCCACCTGGTTGCATGACCATAGTTCAAGTTCAGTTGAGATTCATTGCTTGCAAACACATGCCTAGCATAAAGTTCAGCGTCTTATTGTCCAGATAAGTTCGGTGGCCTCTTGGGGAGACCTTCTATGGTCTGAAGATAGGTCTAACAGAGTAAAGATCCGGTCAGTTAAAAGCCCCAACAAGGCCTCAGTATCAATATACAACATTATGGAATTAATTGACATAGTATTTTATTTATGCCTTACTATAAGCCTAGGACTCTTACTGCTTTAGGGAAATAAGCTCTGTATCTGAAAAGATGTCTCAGTTACTCCTGGAACAATGAATTGAATATGTCTCATACAAAGATTACTGAAAGGAAAATTGAAATTTAGAGAGGCAAAATAAATTTCACCAAATCTCATGATTGGCAACATTTGACACTATTACATCAGTACTGGCATAATTCCCACCACAAAATTACCTCTGTAGATCTATAGGTCATACATTTTATGCTAAAATGGTATAGAGAACAGTTATTCTAGGTTCCAATTTTGTAAGGAATGCTGTATCATCTGACCAGAGAAGTAAACCTAATGCTCATTGCTGTAACGTATGGAAGATAGAGTTCTGAGCATGTAATCATGAGTTATTGAGTATTTCAGGAGCTTGCTGAGCTCTGAATGAGGAGGTTTTAGGAAGTGCTGATATGACTTTGCCACAGAGCAAAATGTAGTTAATACAACCAATGGATTAAGCCATGGAAAATTGAGATAGAAAACTCGTGTCTCATAAATACTTACCAGCCACTTTCCAAATGATGGTCCCCCTGCCTACATCTGGACCCTCTGGAAGCAACTCTTAATAGTTGTAGGAAAAGGGTATGGGGGGGTGGGTAGTAACAGTGGTCCAGTTCACTTGATCACTTTTAGATCTGTCCCAGTTTACTTATTCTCTTATTTAAGAATTATTTTATTTGTTTGAAATGCAGAGGAAAGAGAGAGAAAGAGTATCTTTGAACTGTTGATTACCTCCCCAGAAGGATGCAATAAGTAGGAAAGTAGCGGGTTGAATCCAGGAGCCAGAAACTCAATCTAGGGCCTCCCACATCTTCCACTACTTTTCCAGGAACATCAGATTGGAGATACATTGGCAATGGAACAACCAATGCTTTTGATCTGGGATATGAAATATAGGATGCTGAAGTCGTAGGTGGCTTAATATCTTCATGCCACAAAGTGTCCCCAACAGTTTATAATTTCCAGTTCACATGTATTCGTTTCACTCAACTGAGTTGCAAAGAAGACAGTTGTTTTTTGGAAGAAAAAGGAAGGTTATTATGCTTGCATCCTGTATGAGTGCCAGTTCAAAGTACCATCTGCTCCATTTCTCATCAGTCTTCTGATGGACCCAGGAATGCATCAGAAGATAAGCAAAGTGATTGGATCCTTGCCAGCCATAAAGAAAACTGGACAGAGTTCCTGACTCTTGGCAATGGCCTGGTTCAGCTCTGGTTCTTGAAGCTACATGGGGAGTGAACCAGCTGACGGAAGATATCCGTCTGTTTCTCTCTCTCCCTCTCTGCGCCTCTGCTTTCCAAAAAACCAAATCTTGTTTTTTTTTTTGGTTTAAGATTTATTATCATTATTGGAAAGGCAGAGTTACAGCTGGAGCTCTGTAATGGCTGGAGCTGAGCCGATCCAAAACCAGGAGTCCATAAACTCTTCGGGGTCTCCCATACGGGTGCAGGGTCCCAATGCTTTAGGCCATCTTTGACTGCTTTCCCAGGCCACAAGCAGGGAGCTAGATTGGAAGCAGGACCACTGAGATTAGAATCAGCACCCACGTGGGATCCCGGTGCATGCAGGGTGAGGACTTTAACCGCTAGGCTACTGTGCTGAGCCTGAGACTAAGTATTTCTAAAAATTGCAGGCTGGCTTGGCTAATGATTCTGGAGATTGCGAAGTCTGAAAGCAAGGTAATGACACTTGGCTAGGGCCTTAATGCTGTGCCATTGCATGGTAGAAGATGAAAAGACAAGAGCATACAAGAATAAGAAGTGCCAAACCTGGCTTTTATGAAGAACCAACTCCTGTGAAAACAGCATTAATCCATTCATGAAGACATGGCCTAATCATCTTAAAAGTCCAATGTCTCAACATTGTTGCATTTGGGATTAAGTTTCCAACACATGGATTTTGGGGGAATGCATTCAAAACAAAGTGAAAACCTATGAATTTGTTTACCTATAAACTAGATGAAATTAAAGTATCACTCATAGTAGGCAAAATTTTCTGTGAAGATCTGTCTGATGACAATAGTTCTCTATTAAAATATGCTTTGCTTGATATGCTCTGTACTTTTATCACTCTTTCTAATGACAAATTGTAAATGTTTATTCTTTTTATTCCAGGTGTTTAGAACGGGGCAAACGTGTGCTGCTTGCCAGTGAGACTATGAAAAGTGACCTCTACGTAGGCAACAAGATTCTTTCCATTGAGGAAAACATGTTGCCACATGGAGAAAAGACCAAGGTATAATCTTCAGAGTTACTGTGTTGGAACTGATCTCAGAAGCTTGATAGAAGGGAGCTATTCTTAAATTGCTGATTGTCTATTCTAGGAATACATACAGATTAGAGTCCGTTAAAACCCATGTTTATTATGAAACCTAAGCTTTAATCACTATATTGCTTCATTTCTTTAAAGATTTATTTTATTTTATTGGAAAGTCAGACACACAGAGAGGGGGAGACAGAGAAAGATCTTCTGTCTACTGGTTCACTTCTCAAGTGGCCGCAATGGCCATCACTCTGCCAGTCTGAAGCTAGGAGCCTGGAGTCTCTCCGTGTCTACCACATGGGTTGCAGGGTCCTAAGGTCTTGGGCTATCCTCGACTGCCCTCTCAGGCCACAAGCAGGGAGCTGGATGGGAAGCAGGGCCACCAGACATGAATTGGCATCCATATGGGCTCCCTGTGCATGCAAGGCAAGGACTGCAGCTGCTAGGTTACGGCACCAGGCCAGCATTGCTTCATCTTTAAAAAGATAACCTCTTGAATCAATTCTTTCTAGGTCGCACAGCCTTGAAAACAACCAGTTTATAGCTTTAAAGAAGACTACTGTGAAAGCTACTATTAAAAGTGGGTTCTGGAATTATTGGTGTGCATATATGGGATTACAGGGAGCATTTATAGGCTAATTTGGATGAAGGAGCCCAGAGAAAAGCCTTCTTGGTCTCATATAGTACATATAAACAGTGTAAAGAGCTTTGGGTTTACCTTGATGCTGTCAGACTTGTGCTAACCTCCTCTAACCAGAATTGAGGTACAAAGGCTTGATGCGTACACCAGTTATACTATGGGAAATGCAATAAACATATGAATTTAGGTCTTCATGGTATGGCCAAGTACAGAAATTCCATGCAATGGATAACTCACCAGAATGAGGATCATTGAACTGGTGTTGCTATCCTGGCTTCATAACTTACTTAGCTGTGTGAATTTTAGTAACTCAATGTCTGGATATAAGTTTTCCAGGCAGCAAAATTTATTTACTTAAATATTTTTATCTCTAGTACATATCTGAGACAGTGATATATGTGAAATAGGTGTTCCTTTTTTCCTCAGATTGCTTATTTTCTGTTATGGAATATGAATGAAACAGTGGGATATGAATATGTGAAATATCTCTACAATGGAATCTACAAAAATTGATGAAAGCAGAGTAAAAAATGGAAATAAATCCTTTGTTCATGGAATAGAAGGATCAATATAATTAAAATATATGAATAAAAGCTAACAGCAGATTATATGCAATCACCATCAAATTGCCAATGCCATTCTTTTAGGAATTAGAAAAGACAATTGTGAATTTTTATGGAACCAGAAAATACAAAAATAGCCAAAGCAATCATTAGGAAAAATAACAAAGTTGTAGGCATCATGCTAATAGACTTCAAGATATACTATACCACAAAAGTGTAATCATTAAAATAGCATGACATTGGTGTGAAATTGAACAAAGGTAGTAATGGAAAAGGATAAAGCACCAAGAAATAGCTTCATGTATTTATAGCACTCTGAATTTTGATAAATGAGCCAAGAAAAACAATAATATTTCAATAAATGGTGCTAAAAAAAGGGATGGTTTTATCGGTAAAAAAGTGGACACTTACATGTCATCAAGTATAAAGAATACTCAAAATGACGGATTAGGTGACTAGCATTCTGGTGCAACAAGGTAAGCTGCTGCTTGAGATGCCAGCATCTCCTATTGAAGTATTGGTTGAAGTTCTGACTACTTTGTTTTCACTTTAGTTCCCTATTAATAAGCCTGAGAAAACATTGAATAATTGCCCAAGTGCTTGGGACCCTGCCAGAGACTCAGATTGAGTTGTGACCATCTGGGGAGCATACCACTGGATCGAAAAATATTTCTTTGTCTGACTCTCTCTCTCTCTTACATACACACACACACACACACACAATTTTTCAAATAAGTGAGTAATCTTTGAGCATGTGTTATGACTTAAATGTAATTCTCAAAAGTATGAGACTACTAGTAGAAAACACAGAGTAATTTTGTCAGGACATAGACCTGGCAAATATTTTCAGATATGATTACAAATGTAAAGACAACAAAAGGAAAAATTGACAAATGAGACTGTCAAAAAGCTTCTAAATAGCAGCCAATAGACCAAAGAGGAAACATGAGAAATTGATTTCAAAACATATGAGCTTCTGACAAAATATTAATATTCAAAATATATCAAAATTTGAAGCAACTTAATTGTAAACCAAGAATAATTCAATGAAAATGTGCTAGGGTTCTGAGAAGTCATTTCTCAAAGAAAGACATAAAAAAGGCCAACATACACATGAAAAAAGTTTTAACAATACTAACAGGGAAATGCAAATGCAAACCATGATGAGCTATTCTTTCACTCCAGTTCAAATGGCTACTATGAAAAAGATAAAAAGTAGCAATTGCCAGTAAGAATGTGGAGAAAGGGGACATTTGCATACTCTTGCTAAAACTACAGATTAGCATAATCATCACCGAAAACAGTATGGAGGCTTCTTAAAAACTACAGCTAGAGTTATCACATGATCCGTAAATGCCACTACTGGCAGGGCCAGCGTGTTGGCTCAAGTGCCAGCATCCCATCTGGGTGCCAGCTCAAGTGCCAGTTGTTGCACTTCCCATCCAGTTCCCTGTTTGTGGCCTGGGAAGGCAGTGGAGAGTGGCCCAACAATGCCTTGGGATGCTTCACTTGTGTGGGATACCTGGAAGAAGCTCCTAGCTCTTGGCTTTGGATTGACTCAGATCTGGTCATTTTGGCCATTTGGGGAGTGAAAGTACAGATGGGAGATCTTTATTTCATCTCTCCTGTCTGTAAATCTTCGAAATAAAGAAGAAAAGAAAGAAAAAAGAAAAAAAAATTAAAAATGCTGCTACTGGCATATACCAAAGGAAACAAATGTTTTAAAAAGACATGTATTGGGACCACTGGCATGTGGGGGTCAACTGAATAATCTTCCACCTCCAAACATGTAGGACCAGTTCCTGTTCCATCCAGCTCTCTGCTTGTGGCCTGGGAAAACAGTTGGGGATTGTCCAAAGCCTTGGGACCCTGCACCCGCATGGGAGACCTGGAAGAAGTTCCTGGCTCCTGGCTTTGCATCAACTCAACCATTTTGTGGCCTTTTGGGCTGTGAACCGGCAAATAGAAGATCTTTCAGTCTCCTTCTCTCTCTAAATCTTCTTTCCAATCAAAATAAAGAAAAATTTTTTTTAAAGATGAGACATTTACAATGTTGTATTTATCGTAACACTATTCAAAATAGCCAGCATGTGCAGTCAATCTAAATCTTCATCAAGGGATGATTCGATAAAGAGAGTATGGAATCCATATAAATTGAGGACTATTTAGCCATGAAGTAATGAAATTATCATTGAATCTTGGAGGTTATTATGTTAAGAGAAACAAGCCATATGCAGTAAGATAAATGCAACATGATCTCACACATGTGTGGAATCTAAAAAAGTTAAACTCATTCAAGTTAGGAGTAGAATAGTGATTATTGGAGACTGAGGAGAGTGGGGGCATGGGTCCTGGGAATAGGTTAGTTAATGCATGTAACATTGGAGGAGTAAGTTCTTATGTGCATGTCATAGTAGAGTGGATATAATTAATAACATTTGATTTTGTATTTCATTTTTAATTTTTTTGCATCCTTTATTCTAAAATATAACAGAGAATTTTGGATGTTCTCTCCATAAAGTAATGATAAATGTATAAGTTTATATGCTAGGTATGAAATATACACATGAATCAAAACCTCACATTGTACTTTATTTTATTTTATTTTATTTACTTTTATTACTTTATTTTACTTAATTATTTTATTATTTTATTTTACTTTATTTTATTTATTTTGTCCAGTAAAAATTAAGAAATAATGGAAATGTGTATTATTAAATTGTTCATGATAAAAAAGATGATAATGATAAAGGTGCAGAACTTACTTTGGATTAAAAAGGACTAGCTTTAGTTAAAAAAAAAAGAAATAGATAAAAAAAGATACAGTCTGAGATGGAAATTCTCAATTTCACAATTAATAGCTTAGAAACCATTCACGCTACCAGATATACTTTAAGCCAGCACTATCTAAAACAACCAGCATGTGAGAACTATGTGAAGAGTATAAGATTCATATATGATTTCGATTTTAACATTACACAAAGAGACAGAAATATTTAATAGTTTAATAATCCAGTATATTTAAAACTACGCTCATTTCAAATAAAATATCAGTATAAAATATAGCAGTACTGCAAAAAATTTTTATAAAATTGAATTAAATGAGAAATTCATTTTAGAGAAAAGTTTGAGACCCATATGAATGCAGAATCATCAAAAGTAATGGAAAATGGTTTTAATGAAAAAGCTGCATAATTCCAGTGTCACACACAGCAGCTTAACACACTGTACCGCATTGTCCACTCCTCAATGTATGTTTTAATGACATCTTACTGCTTTGAATTCATTTGGAAATCCTATTCTCTCTGACTGGGGCAAGAGAGGAAACCAATAGATCAGTTACAATCAATTTTGCACTTAGGTAAGAATTATTTATTGAAACCACAGTGGGTGTGGTATAGATAGAAATAAATGGAATTTAGACATGTTTCTAGAAGCATTGCTGACAGGTTTTGCTGATGGGGTACTCGCGAGGGGGTGAAGGGAAGAGGAGTTCATAATGATCTGAGGTTTTATTCTTTTTTTTTTTAAAGATTTATTTATTTTTAATGGAAAGGCAGATATACAGAGAGGAGGAGAGAGACAGAGAGGAAGATCTTCTGTCTTCTGGTTCAATCCCCAAGTGACCGCAATGGTTGGGGCTGAGCCAATCTGAAGCCAGGAGCTCTCCCGGGTTTCCCACGTGGGTGCAGGGTCCCAAAGCTTTGGGCTGTCCTCGGCTGCTTTCCCAGGCCACAAGCAGGGAGCTGGATGGGAAGCAGGGCCGCCGG